AGTGATTTTCCTTGATAAAGGAAGACGAGAATTAAATAATCTTCGGACAATCTAAATATCACCGTAAATTGCCTTTTAATTTCTGTTTAACGATATATGCCAGTTGATATTAGCACATTATTGGTGAGTTAACTAGAGTGCCCGCATATCACCCAATTGGAGTGGCTTTTTCGATGTCATTTATCTGAGAATAAGAAAACAGACAACTCAACCACACAGCCATTACGCAGAACGCCAACATGTACTAAACCAGACTGAAATGGCAGTAAGATAGCAGACCAGCTCTTAACAAGGACTGACAGACAATAGAAATTCTAATATATTTATTTATTTCAAATGGCAGGCGTTTTGATAGCTATCATTAGCTCTTTAGCTGACTTCGGGCTTCACAGAGGGAAGGTTCATCAAAGTAGAAGAAAGTAGAGGGGTGGGGAACAGAAGAGCGATTCACAGAGTGGGGTGATGGTAGTTTGAAGTGAGAAGTCAACTGCCAGTTAATAGACTTTTTTGCCGTATGAGTATACGTTGCCCAGAGTGCACCACGTGGAGGTAAGTCTATCGCACACCCCCAGACAATAGAAATTCTAATATGAAATATTAGGCCAATAGTTCACTGCTCGGGTAACTGCACTAGAGGCGGTCCTACAATATGCACGCTTGCCAAATTACCATTCTCAAAATCCAGAACGAGGAAGAAATGCATTCTTATTTCCAAATCAACGTACATTGGCTACTTTTAGTTAGCAAGGAACTTGCGAATGTGAGCTTCGCATGGGAGCAGACTCACGATATCTCTCCTCCAAGCAAACTAAGTGTACTGAACACTTTCCACAGTAGAGCCAGATAAATAACCACCCTAGGCTCTATGGTCTGATGTCAGCAGTACAGCAAAACACCTACAGAGCGCACGATGAGTTCTCAGGGTATAAAAACATATTTCTCAGATGTGTGTCTACTAGTAAAATAACACGTGAAGTTCAAGCATTAGCGGCGCGCTATAAAATACAAAGAATATCTGAAATAAAGATGCTATTTTCTAGTAATCTGCCTGAGAGACCATATACGAGGTAAATTTCGCTGTTAGGTGTACACTGCAAAAGAAGGTGATTGAAAGAAAATCAATTCAAAATGTAATAAAAAATATTTTACCGATTTAAGAAACGAAATATAAAAAATATGAATTTATTTTTTGATAAAAAGTGTAGATTTATTCTGTGTAATAAAGAAAAGCGTTTTTAGGTAGAATCTAAATCTAACGATTCGACATCATAATGCCGTTGACATGCAGCATCAATTGTCACTCGGAGACGTTTGAAAGCGTGCTTCCATGCGAGTCCATTACCCGCCACAAGTTCACTATCTATCAGACGTAATAGACCTTGAAGCAAACATCGGACTCGAGCTAGGTCTGTTTGGAGAATGGAGATGAGATAGTCTGCAAGCATACAGAGGTCTTCCTCCAAAGGGTCTAGAAGAAATTTAAACATAACAGAAATTGAGATTTCTCCGGTATTAAAATAACTTTTCAGCTCTCTAATGGATTTATTAGAAGGAGCATAACAACTCACAGGCCAAACTAATAAACCGTGCATAGATAATCTTGTTCGGAAGAGAATTAGCAGTCGTTACATTTGACAATTCTTTACGAATCAATAAACTCCCACTTGCAGATGTGAACTTTGACCACAGAGTCATCGAAATCAATTTCATAAAGTTGGAACCAAAAAAGCTACATTTTTTCAACTTCTGAATGCAAAAGTAGATTGAGTTCAAAAACTAAGCATCTTTCCTATAAATGGGCAATCACCAATGCCCACAACCAGTAACTTGACATTTGTTGAAATTCAAAATTATCAAAAATCTACGCCTTGTTTTAAACAAAACTTAGAGAAACAAAATACAACCGCCTGGTGTCAGCATAAGGAAATTAAGACCGAGTAGCTGCCATGTTCTAACACATTTCCCAATTGATTTATCGAATGACAATTGACAGCTTTTGCTATTAATTAAATCAGATTATGTCAAACTCTAAGTATATCTAAACGATAATTTGCCTTAATTAGAGGAAGTGTAATTTATGCAGGTTGTGATATTGGACGCTGAAATCTATAACGAAACTTTGCGAATAGCTCACCCGATTCTGTTGTAATCCACGTAGCAAACATATTTTTCAATTCCTCAACAGACCTCTTGGCAAACACATTTACTTCTTCAAGAGGACGATTAGGCTGATGGGGAAGAATATCAGCAGAATCAACCTAAAGAAGGCAAAGAGAAGTGAATTCGAGAATTCAAAGGTACTTGAGATATCACTGATTTAGGTTCTTTTATGGAGATAGGAGACGATGTTGAAGCCAGAGTTGGACTAGCTGGTCCCTAAAAAGAGAAGGCACAAATAGTAGCGCTTCAAAAAATTACTGCTTTTGAGAATTAGTGCGTTTTCGTTAAGAGATCAAGTGAGCATTTTACTTACTGATTCAATCATGCTATTCAAATCTTCCGACGGAGTTGACATGATATCATCACCATCAGAAATAGAACAGGACTCATTAGTACCTTCACTGAAAATCGAATTAGCACTGGAAATATCTCTTTGACTGCTATAGAACAAAAATAATAGTATTCCCTAATAACCTTTTCATGGTGGTGACTAGAAAGAGTATCTGCTTACTTTGGTTTTGAACCAGATGATTTCAAAAATCTCGTGATCGATGGAAGCTCTTCGACTTTTTTACCTCTTTTCAGCTTGCCTGCATTTGGCAAAGGTGAAGATGGCGAAAGGCGATGCATTTGGAGACCAAGCTTTGAAAAAATAAAAAAACATTATTTAGTGTTCAATATTTAACAATAGCTTGAATGACATTACCTTCTACCAAAGCACAATTTGATTGAATTAACTGAGCCTATGTCGATATATGGCCACTAAATGCAGTTTTAATTACATACGTTAACTATAGATACAAATGAGAGAATCAGAGAAAGTAATCTCTGAAAAATAGAACGTGTGTCTGTCTCTTCACAAAACATTAAAAACCTAAAATAAATAATTTGATTGTTCACCCCACGAATATCCTTCGGATTTGGATTAAGTCGTCGAAGCACCGAAAGACACTTTTCTGCGATAATCGATGTGTCTGCAGTGGCTTTTGAAAGTGACACTGTGCGAGTAAAGCTATCGCAAATCCCATGACCTAGAGAAAATATAACAAATAAAATTAGTCCTACTGAAGCGTGATAAGTAGAATATGACAATCCAACATGTAAATATGGTAGCAACTAAAACTTCAATAACCGCATCAAGTGGCGACGAAAATACCCCCTCCCCTTCCCAAAGCTCATTCAAAATCGATTTTTGGAGCATATGCACTTACTCTAGCCAATGTGAGTTATCATTAAAATCACGCAGGTGCACTCGACACTGATCAAGTGCATAATCCGTTTTTGATCAATGAACTCACCCAAATACTTGGCTGTCTTAATTGGTTGGTCGGCACGACGTGTTAAGAGATGCACAGCGAGATTTTTTCCAACCATACCAAAACCAGTCCGGGATTCAGACGCAGCTTTACCAAGCCGGGAAGACAGCTCCTTCGCCAAATCTTTCACGAATTTCTCAACTTCGGGCCACTAGAAGATAAAAAACCTGAGTGAGTAGTTAAAAAACTTTCACAACTAAATATAGAAATTAAACACACAGTCGACAAGCGAACACCGTAATTGATCTCAGCTGAAATAGACTTAGCATAACGGTCCAGAATCACATCCGCTGAATCCTAAAAAGAGAAAATTAGTATTGATTTTTTTAAAGTGTCTTAAAGTAAGGAAAGAGCAGGGATACAGAAGAGCACTCACCATTCCCTGGCATAGTTGTAAAATTCTTTGACTCGTTTTAGTACCAAGGAGTGAGGAAAGTTGGTCATGGGTCGCTGTTTTAAGAAGTTCTCCACAAGTTGAAATTCCGTAAGCTTCGGCGATTCGAAAGACCATTTGTCTGCCCACACCTGTAAATAGTACAAGATGATTATTTGCAAACAATCATTAGAAAACAAAACAAGGATAACTATCATAAGTCGCTATCGTTCTCGGTGGAAGCACGTGGATGAGGCGAATTGAGAAGCTGTACCAATTTTAAGCCCTCATACATGTCATAGTCTTTTATATCCTTCCATATTTACTCGAATAATTCATATGACATGCCCTGATCTCCTTAAACAGTTACCCAACAAAGACGTAAACGCAAGCTCTCTTCAATTGGTGAGATGTGTTCAACTTAGGAATAAAATTAACCCGAACAAAGACAAGAAGGAATGCGCACAAGCTACCAACACTTCCTCGAAAAAAAACGCATTACTCATTTGTCTTTTCCTTGGTCCAGACATTAACGGTGGCCGCCTAATTAACTCCAAATGCCAACGTGAGCTGATAATCAACACCAAAACGCTCAAGGCGTTTTTACCACAACCGCTAAGTTTTCGAGTCAGCACATCGGTCTTTGTGAGTAATGTCTAAACACCCCAAATTAGGACTTAATGGTAAGTCCTTTTCTAATTCTATGACTCCTTGATTGAGTCAAATGGAAGATTATTTCTCTGTGAGTCAGCATTGCAGGAAACGTATAGATATTAGGATCGTCGAGTAGAAAAGGGATGGCTAGGATGACAAATTGATTCATCTTGGCACATTCGACCGAGATACGCTAAAAGTGGACCTGCAAGCTACCCCGTGCACTGAAATATTGATTATTGAATCGTCACAGTCTCACTTGAAATTGCATGACCTCCTCCTGTGCATGAGCAGTCGGTGCAACTATTGACTAAATAGACTGTCGAGCGTTTAGCCCATATCTAATTATGTATAAGTGAATATATTTGCTGAATAGTCTACCTTTGTTTAAAGTCTTAATTATCCACCTTCCTCTTCATTGAATCTTATTGGGCAGTTGGGCAAGCCTTAAAAGAGTGGAATATCAAAGACATGCCCACAATGTTAAGAAGAGCTAATCTACTTACAAATAGTCTTCAAACTTGTAAGACGATGTAGTATAAACACCAAGTATTAAAGAACCTGACTGTCTGAACTAAGCTTCACCATTACACACGTAAATAACAATAATGACAAACCTGGAAGGTGAGCAAGGGGTAGATCTTCTAGATATTCTCGCCCTTCAGGACTAGCCAACTCAATAAATTTTATTCTCTCTCCCTCCAATTCGAAAGACGACTGAGCACATTTCCATTCGGGACCCAAGAGAAGACCCTGAGCATTCGGTTTCGCCCACTTTGTAGCTAGTCGGGCAAGGAGGCGATTTGTACCGAAACCACAAGTTGCGGTACATCGAGTAGCCTCCTTGACACATCGGCGCAGCGCTGCACCAAGGAAGAAGGGATTTGTTAGATGAACACACTGCCCTGAAGAGGATCTCACTTTTAGCAAATCGGTAACATCCACGTACATCTCGTCGCAACTTACTGCTTCGATTTGAAGGCAGAATCTGAAAAAACGCCAGCTTAAAGCATGCTGAATTGATAATACATACTACGGGGTTGCGCGATAGACTTACCTCCACGTGGTGCACCCTGGGCAAGTCTATTGACCGGCAGTTGACTTCTGACTTCAAATTACCATGACCCCACTGTATATCATATTCGACTACTTCCACAGTACTCACCTCACCTTTTTACTACCATTTCTACCTTCGTCTTTGAAACACTCTTCTGTGCCCCCCATCTCAACTGCTTCCACATTGATGTTCCTTACACTCTGTGAAGCCTGAAGTCAACTAAAGGGCTAATGATAACAATCAAAACGCCTGCCATTTGATATAAATAAATAATACATACTACTTACTACCATATCAACAAATACGTAACAAGCTTACTTTGCAAGACCCTAGTTATATCTTATGGGGACATAAACCTCATCATAAGCATATCACTAACACTAATGATAAAAATTTTCATTTATACTATTTAAACCATTTAGTTATATATTACTTATATTCAACTTATAAGTGTGGTGTACGATAGACTTACCTCGACGTGGTGCACCCTGGGGAAAGTATATTCATACGGCAAAAAAGCCTATAAACCGGCAGTTGACTTCCGACTTCGAATTACCATGACCCGACACTATGTTATATTACACCACTTCACAGTACTCATCTTACCTTTTCTCTACCTTTGTGTCTGTCTGTCTCTCTTACATCTGTGAATCACTTTTCTGTCCCTCCTCTCAAATTTTTTCCACTCTCTGTTCTCCCTCTCGAATTTTTCTCACTTTGATGTTTCTATCCCTCTGTGAAGCCCGAAATCAGCTAAATGGCTAATGATGACAAGCCCGAAGTCAGCTAAAGGGCTAATGATAATTATCAAAACGCCAGTCATTTGAAACAAATATTCAACTTATAGGTAGATCGACTTACTTGGCGACAGTCTTGTACAGGTCTTCAGCGACACTAAAGAAGGCGTCGAACTCATAGGGAACAACTTTTAATTCAGGACAGAGGGCACGAGCTTTGCCCAGAAGCATGCCATTCTTAACACCAAACTAGAAAAAAAGACCGGGAATTAGGAAAAAAAGACGCCCACTTTTCTAGCTTCATAGGAACAGGAAGCAACCTCCGCCATTGAACTGTAACAATGAAGACACCCAAAAATGAGTGAATGAATGGAGTAATAGAATTAGGATGACTGGTAACTTACGAATCTGATTTCCCTTTACCGTGGGTTACGGCAACCGGAAGACCTGAAAAACAGATAGAGTTGGCACATTTTTGAGGATTCTAATGTCACAGAAAGCAGCGAAAGCGAAGTGAATGTCACTTTCCAATGATATGACTGTGAAACCGTAACTGTAAGAAGCCAACATCTGCTAAAATTTTGTCTTCAAATTTAAGCTCCTGATCAACGCTCTCAAAATCATACGAAATGAAGTTTTTAAGATCACATAGCCCCCAGAAGAAACTGGCACTATTTAAGTCTTAGTAACAAGACTGAAATTTCTAATTTGTCCCTCTCCTTTCCTAGGTAAATACTCTACTGACAGATATGTAACCCCACGGCCAAACCCTGATCTAAGGTTAAAGAAACATTACACACCGATCCTTGGATAAATATGAAAATGAATTCGTCACTATTACTACAAGCATCGCGGTTTTATTGGCTTCTTTTAACTACACTAAATAAGTAAATAACAAAGACAATTACATTTTTCGAAAGTAAGCCAACATAGAGCCTTAATGTTGGAACACAAAAAAATACTTACGGGAGATAACACGTTAAATATAACCCGAAAGGTGATCTCAGCCGTTCTACAATTTCGGTCACATGCTTTATCATCTCAACTGAACAAATAGAAGGCTAAAATACTCAAAAAAACTATTCAATCAATGTGGTGGGGGGTCTAGTTTTGGTGAAGCAACTACATGGCGAGAATGATTGGCACATATAAAGATGGTCTAGACAATTAACCTTTATAATGAGAATAGAATACTGAATCTAAGTGGGAAACTCGCCAGTAAACCAACATGCTTCCAATGGCCTAATTGTCAGATGATTTGTTATTGATTGCTCACTAGACTAACAAAGAACGAGAAATAGCCAATTCAGCTCTTTGTGCCTTAAATTAGTGAGAATGTAGCAAACCTTTTCGATTAGCGCGCTCATAAGCTTCAATTCCCACATGACCTCTCATCTTGCTAGAGGGATTACCTCCAGGATTAAATTGGCGGGGCTCTCAAAGTATTTCCACTAGCTGAACCTAGTGTTTACGTAATAAGGCACGGAAAAAATGAGAAACATACCGGTGAACAAGTTAGCGCAAATCCTCTCTTTCAACTAATACTTTCTATTCTAAAGCAAATAAAAGCCTGTCATGGCAACAACGGGGGTGAGAAAGTCTATCGAAGACACTCAAAGTCACATTCAGTGTCGATATCATCAATTAAACTAGGTCGGATACCCCCTAGTAGAACGAGCGATCTATCGAAAGGCCCACAGGGAAAGATAGCCTTTTCCATACAAGAAAAAGGATCTAGTTGGAAGCATTGAAGGGAAATAAGCGTCACCGCTGAGCGAGTGGAAACGGCGCTGTGATAAGGTGAATCAAGGTATTCTGAGTTGAGTTTTTTCTTTCTCGTTTCTGTGACGAGCAATTGATGAGATATCTAATTTAAGGACGCCGAGGATTCGTGAGACAATATGTGTGTTCGATACAATGCCATAGGACATAAATGGGATGCATCTTGTCGCCGCACACAGCAAATATCACACTTTCTATCCAAGTGTCTTAGATTTGATGTAACTAATAGGTACAGTACTCACCCACAAATTCCGGCCGATTTCTTAAACATACAGAGACAAAGAAACAATCCATATCCATATGCATTAGGATTCTAGGGATCTTCTGTGTAGAAGAAGACGATTCTCCAACATACTCCAAGATCATTTCATTTAGGGAATCCGACGGCGATTTTGAAATTGACTGAATGCGTTCAATTTCCATGCGAAGAAATTCTCCTTTATCAACCCCAGCCTTTCCCCCTTCCTCGTGCTCTTGTCGAAGTGCTCGAACCAGATCCCTCAGATCAGCAGCCCACTTTGATAGGTGATGGAGTCGTGAACGAGAGTAATATTGACTGATGTAGCCGTCACTGGTGGTAGGTAATATACTGGAAGTCCTATCAGGCTGGGTCTTTAAATCCTCATTCCGATCCTAAAGCAGTTGCATAATGAATTAGGTCAATCAGGAGGACAGCCCGCTTCCAAACTTTAGTCAACTGAAACACCATCAAAGAAATTAGACACCAGTGATAGACCTTCCCATGAGACAACAAACACAAATGAAGTTTTCGGTAAGTCGTGTCTTTATTTTTATAAACCCAACAGGGCTAATTCCAAGCTACTATTTCTGCTCACGGTAAGGAAATGAGATCGGTTCAAACTAAAGTTCGATAAAGGCGACGGAAATGGCGCATTCTTAATAGTAATTCCGCTTTTTTGAATTCCAGAATAATAACTTAATAATTACAATTATTAATTACCATCTACCATTTTAAAATCACTATTTTTGCTACAAAAAACCCGAGAAAGAAGGGCGATACCAGTTTTGAACATTTTTAATAAGCACCCAAGCGAAAGCACTGCACGCAATCTTGTCACATTTAACATAACACGCCTAATGAGTTAAATTGGGTCAGTAAATTGAGAGTGAGGGGGGGAGGTCTGGCAATAAATGACCCCAATTAGGATGGGACCTAAAATCTAGTCAGATCAATGCAGGTAGATCTCTCCTCCCCCCCCTTAAATTCCCCTCACCTCTTGATTGGGGTCTAAACAAATAGCTGGGCATGTCCAATACCCAGACAAGGCAAATTTTTTAAAAAGGCATTATTTTACACCAAATGCAGTCCTTTTAAAAATTAAATTCATGCAAGGTACTTCTCAACCTTGAGAATTGAAATAACAAAGCTGACTAGCATAATTAATCATCAAAGCTATAAGCAAAGAGCGTTAAGGATTGGAATTCTGCTCAGAAATCCCAGTGAAGAATCATGAAATCCGATTTTGAAGAGCAAAATACGACTCGTTTGAAGCTCTCCACACTGCTTTCAGTCCATTCTCCTGTCATTAAATAGAATTAACGAAACTTCCCAAAAGCGTTTTTCAACAATTATCCCAGTTAGAGTACCACAATGGAGGCTGTTTGGTGAGAAATGCGAAATCTGCAATCCCCTCCTACAAGGTAGACTCAACCAGTACCCTTGGCAATGTCGACCACTGATGGGAACCATACCCACGTGCTCTGTCTTTGCAGAGGAATACATTAGCTGCTAAGTCACCGGAGCATACATGATATTGGTTTCTTATCTCACTCAAACAAACTTCTCCGACTCCGTGTTTATATCTTAACAATTAATTTAAGCTTTCGGCAAAATCCTTAATTCTTACCCTAGGATCAAATGCTTGAATGAAAAATTGCTGCAACAATCTCTTAACTCGGGGACAGAAATGAAACATGCAATAAGCGAATCAAGCAGTCGACAACAGTCTCCTTCAAGAATAGGAGAGACGATGCACGAAAGAGCTTATAAAATTAATTATTGTTAGCAAGTGAACATGGACATATTGAATGTTTCCATAATACGAAATCCCTGTTTGTGGTATCTGCATGTTCCTTGTATTTTTTCCGTTATTTAAAGACAAGAACAGAAAACCCGTTCACTGATTGCTGCCTTACTTTTCATTCGTTCATATGTAGTGAAGTTCGCCACAATTGGAAGGCATTTCCACCTTCATAATGATTTGAAGACAACGGCACCATTTAAAGTACAGGAATTTAAGTCATTAAGGTACTCAGTAAAGGTGAGATTTTCAAAATGTAAGCACTTCAATTGCTGAAATCGTTTAAAAATATTTTTTGGATAACCACAATAGCCTTACCCCCAACGGCTCAGTTAAGGTGACATCTTCAATAGGTGAGAAAGAGGAATCAAAAGTGGAAGGTTCATCTCCAATTTGATTGGACGCTGAAGCTTCGTTCGACTCGTTCCCAGAAGCCCTGCGTAAAATAATAAATAGGTTCACAAAGCCTATAAGATGAAGGTTAGATAGAAATTTAAACATTTCCTTACACATGGGATGAAAGGGCCTGCTCATCGGAAAGCATAACATTCTCGGCTAGAAATAAGAGAAAATTCTATCAAAGTACGAAAAACAGTTGTGAAAACTCGAATTATTACAACCGTGTTTAAAATGATTCTGCCTGCTCTTTGCAATTAAAGGTAAAAAATGTTGAGATGACGTGATTTGATTAAAGTGATCAAAAAGTCGTGAATATGGTGGATATAAACCCACAAGTGAACCTAAGGGTTGACCCAAAACCTCCAGAAAGTAAACATAGTAAGACACTTTAAATCTTATTTCATCACTTCGTATTTTATATTAGGCAATTTTGATTCTTCATGTGACTAGCAATAGTGGTACAGTTGAGGTGAGAAAGGAATAGAAGCAGAGACTACAGTAAGGACATAAACGAGATACGTTTCATTCAAATTCACCAGATGGGCCATTACCAGCTCTGTTGATACGCTTAACCCATAGATTTGACCTAATTGAACGGTTAATTGGTTTAGGAAGTTGGCAATAGCACCTTATAATGTCTGCCACAGCTTATTTAACCTATTTAAGGGAGAGTAAGCGCAAGTGAGGCTGGAGACTTACGAGAAAGGGGTTTTGTTTCCAATAGCGACGTGAGAGCTCGCTGGTTTTTGAGTTGACTGTGTGCAGGATAGAGCTCGAAATTCTTCCATGGCAATAGGCAACCAGCTGCAATACTAGAAACGAAAAAAGCGTTTACTTTAGCATATGCACGGGGAAAAAATACGAACATTAACATTTGATGAAATAAACCTCATAGGTGCAAAAATGCTATTCTAATATAGATTTCGCAACATAAGGACGATCAAACCGCTGCATGGAAATTGGTCAGTAAACCGAAGTCAAGCACTACCTTTAAATAGTATTTAAGCAAAATCTAACAAACGAATCTCAAGAAGTCTGGACATCAGACACTTGAAAAGACCAATGGAAAGCTGAGACAAAGATAAATAAAGGCTAATATCGACAATCTCGATGTCGGAACAGTTTACAAGATAGAATTATAACTTTCACAGACACCGTTCAATACAGAAGAGACATTCTTATTCCCATAATGAGAGATTCCAGCAGCCGGACGCTAAGTCGACTGATAAGAGGCTAAACGGTATACTTAAAATTTCGACATTTGACGGAATAAAAGAAAATGCTATCGAACCAGAAATGGACTTTGAATTAACCTAAAAGTAGTCTCCACCACAAAGATGGAAGGGTGGATACTTGTTACTCATTTTGAAAAACGATAACCACACGAAAACACCACTAATAAGAAAGAGAACAAACCTATCAGTGATCCAAGAGACCTTTACAATCTTTTGGTTGTTTATCTTCTTAATTTTGGTCAGAGGTAAATTGGAAGCGACCATGAAATCACCAGCTGATTGGGAATAGTATTGTACATAGGTTCCACCGTGTTCCTGAACAAGGCGCCTTATTTCTAAGGCAGGCGGCTCTGAAGAATTGGAAAACTATACAGACATTAAGGAAGACCATACCAGTATAGCCATTAACGTAAATACGTATCCCGGAAAATATATTAGACTTTTTCGGTTGCTCCGCAAACTGGGACTCTAGCTTGCGGATTTTGGCGTTCATATATCCCCCTTGATCTTCCCAACCATTTTGATCTGAACTAAAGCCATCTCTACTTGCCCGCTTTGTTCGACGCATTGTGAGATAAGTAAACTATACAAAACAACAAATTAAATTCTCGTAAGCAATTATGGGATGCTATAGTATATGCAACGCGTTTTGCGAACAAACTTAGCCGACGAAGCCTAATGTATTAGAGCACCCAAACGTCGCTCGTATCTGATGGCCTTGAATGCGATGCAACAAAGCAAATATTAATATTATGTTTTCTTCAAAAGTGTTTGGAAAGTCTATGTATTTAACAATCAAATGATAAAATTAAAATACTTTTAAAGCTTAAATTCTAAGCAAATGTTCAAGCTATAAAATTTTAAAATATATATTCTCGTGTCAGTTGGAATAATTTTGAATATTTTACCTGATTCCAGAGGTAATAACCTTTTTTACTTAAGCTCATTTGCGTCATCTAAGGACTTCGACGAATCATTAGAAATCTGAACCTACTGTTGTCTAAATAGTGAAACAATATCTCCAAATGTCTCCTCTGTAAATATCTTCATTGCTCGATTGTTGGATTTGCCATCTTTTTACAAATGTAGGATGTTTAACTTCTCCCCATCTTCGTGCATTGAAAACAACATGGTAACAGAGTTATCAGAACCACTTCTGACTAAAGTTTTACTTTTACCAATTAAGGTGGATTGATTATCTGCATTCATGTTTAGTCCTTGTTATTCTCCTTCTTGGTCGATAATCGGTTAATTTTTTGGTCATTTGTCACTTAATCCAGGCTAATAAAGAGTTCCCATAAATAAATTTTTTAATATTAATTGCACCATCTGCTAATTTTATACAGCTTGAATTCGAATATCTCAAGTTTCCTTTATTCTTTTTTTCTTCTTACTTTTAATTTGATTTGCTTCGGAGCTTGTGCTCGTTCTAGTTTTAGTAACTGATTCATGTGCCATTGTGCAGTCATCGACCACCTTATTCTAGTTAAATGCAGATAAATTAACAGATTATTTGTGAGAAAATAATGCAATTCAGTAGTCAGAATTTCTGCTCAATAACAAAAACTCAGTATTTCGATTAAAGACAAAAAAATGTAAAAACCGATTTAAGTCAAAGCCTAGAGAAGGAAAATGCTAATAATTTCATCAGCTATAAACGTATTACGGTTGGTCTCATAAACCCATTAGTCGCAAAATAACATCTAATTGTCCTAAAGGTGTGCTTTGTTTCTAGGTTTCATGGTTTAATATTTAACATTTTGTCAAAAATTTACAACATATTTATGCTTCAATTATTATGGGGAAAAATGAAATTATTCTATCGTCATGTACATATGGGATTTTGGGTCGATCACATAAACTCATAGCCCACCCCCTGTCCTAACTATCGAGACATATTTTAGTCATTGGAAGACTAAATTAGTTACTGAGGTATTACATTATTCAACAGCTGTTCTCCAGGCCATACTTGCTACTTTTTACCAACAGGATAAGGAGAAATCAAGACGGAATGGACTAGTGTCTCTTTGACCTAAAACTATGAAATGTCTGCAATAGATTGTGTTTACAAAATTAATTCCTATAGATTAATTGAAGTAATAGGAAATGGGAATAAGGGTAGATGACCAGGTTTTCGTGTCGATGAGTCGTTGCAGTCGTGAGTATCAACCTAGGTTCTAGTTGGAGCTACTTAGTAGGCGTGAATTTGATCCACTCCATTAATTAGGCTAGAGGCGATGGAAAATGTTATTCTCAGTGAGGTAGAATTATGGTCTTTGCCCCTCGACTGAACTGGCTGTTGGTGATTAGGCTCTCTTTAAATCACGGCTCCCTACTGGTCCTTGGAATGCTTTTTTGCATTATTTTTAAGGAGAATACCTCCCAGCAACATTTGGTCTGGCTGCTAGAGTGGCTCTGCTGCCTAAAATAGGCATTACTTTCTTTTTAAGCTTGATTTTTATATGTGTACGTACGTTGCAATATGTATTCCCCCTCTTGATTGAAACGGGTGATTTGGGCTTTATTAACCAAATTAATATTTAATCTAAGTTTAGCATATTGCAAAAAACATAAACATGACTATATTGCAATTGAATACCTACATATGAAAGGGATTAATCATATAATCATCAATGAATCCTTGAAATAAAATGAATACTTCCTTCAATGAAGATGTATCATACATATCACTCAACTGATCATGATCAAAATCACGTGTGTCTACTTTTCGATTGGTCTCTTCCATAATGTCTGTCGGTTGTTCCCCAACATCTAGTTTTTGCTTTAAGTGTAGATTACCACCTTAAATCATCCTCCAATTGCATAAAATTATCCTTTCAATGATATTATATTTATGAAATTGGAGGCCAGGCATTGGGTCAAAATTCTAAAAGAGCATACTCTCATGCTTTCAGTGGTATTATTATTTTAAAGTCAACCCTCAATCGCAAATATGGGGACTGAATCCATAAACTTGAATGAGGTCTTGGGCGATCAATCTCAAAACAGAAATAACCTTGCCCAACAGTACCAATAGGCAACATCCACATTTAGGTGTTCCACAGTAAAATCTTACTGGCCTACTTTTACGATTCGCGCATAGACATCCTATTTGGGAAATAAAGGGAATACAAAAGCTCTCACTGCTATGGCGAAATTTCTTATATTTTATTTTGAACACGTCATAATACTGCATAATATTGTAATGGTTAGTAAAAGCAATGTAATGAATAAACGAAATACGAATAACGTCAGGAAGATATGTAAAAACACTTAATAATTATAATTTCAACTTGAAACTCACTTTTAATACATAGTTTGATAAATACAAACTATGCTTTCGGACATGTAATTCATTTTATTCTTGGCGGATTGAGGCCCACAGAACATCCGTCCACAGGATTTATAACTATTCTTTGTTATCTATTTAGTGAATTGCCTTCAGTATTGGCAATAATTACGGTCGGATAAAGGTTCGACACTGAATATAGAAAGACTACTGATCGCGGTTTATTGCTCATCAACAAGGACCTATAGAAGCAATTATCATCATCAGCATACCTCTGGAAAAGGATACTTTGCCGACTCCACTGGGAACTTTCCGATCTCTTCGGCGGAAGCAAAGCACACTAGAGTGGAAGGCTAGGAATCCAAAAGACATGAAATTTGTGACACTGAAGTGGAAAACCCGAATTTTAAAAGGAGACTTGATGGACCTGTTTCGGCGTTGTAGACATTGAATATTGTCCCTCCACACACGCGAAGACCTTTTGCGGCAATCTCGCTCTAGTCGCTAAGGAATAAGTGGAATAAAATAATTTGTCAGAAGATTTACTTAGTATTCAGCAATGGTAAAGGTATAGCAATACCCGTCAAAGGCTATCATTAATGCCACAATTCGGCTCTAAACATTCTACATGGAAACAAAATAATTGGTTATTACTGATCATAGCAATGTCTTTTTAGTGTTACTGGACTCACAGTTCAAGAAGCCGAAAGTATTACCGATGTCGGTAACAAATATTGCAGTCACTTTCAGTGTCTCTGACCGCAATTTCTCGACATATGATAACCCAGGAAATCTGCAATCGTGAAGTGGAATAGACTCTTGTTCATTGCGGTTTGTGGAGCAAAGCAGACAAAGAACTATGTATCAAATCCGTATGTTCACTTATCACTCCCAATGGAATCGCCTGCCATAGTGAATTAACAACAGACTAAAATGGGTCCTGCAGAAACCGAAATGGGAGAATTGACAAAGGAGGTTATTGGAAATTCCCCACTGACCTCCAATATTGAGTGATAAGTCACTCGCAGAACATACAAGAGATGCGTTCACTGTCAGTGATTTCATGTTTGGTTGAGGTTTCCAAATCGGTAAATGTGAATGCATGAAGGAGAGAGTTATGGTATTCAGAACAAGCAGAGAAATCAATTTGTACACGGATTGTAGAAACTAAGTTAGGGCCAGGATTAACCCCATTTTAATTTCCAGTAAGTGAGTCGAATAAGGTCCAAGGAGTAGCTCCAAAACATATACTCCATTCAAAAGGACCTCTTTGATATCCAAGAATGCTTAAAATGCATAGATCGAATTTAAGGCCTTATGATGAAGGAACTGCTTAAAAGAGGAAGGGCAGAAGAAGGAAGGAAATTGCGCAATTTATTAAATATCTGTCATTGACGATATTAATACTTCTGATTTACCCTTGGAGATCGTTTGAAGGAAAAGAATTTTAGATATAATCTAATTTGTTGCGTATTATTAAATATAACGCCACTAAAATTCTAGATTTTGATGCAAAATATGCAAGACTTTGGTATTTTCTAAAATCAGCAGAACTAAGTTTAAAATAAAACGGAATCTCCATTAAAATACTTTGTGTCAAAAACATGTTAATTTTCCATTCACTACTTTTCAGCGTGTCGCTTAAAGCTGTCGTTATATATAAAAGTGTGTGAAAGGAAACTGAAAAGAAGGTAACAACTGCAGTGTTTGCACTTTTTCTCAGCATTACCAATGCCTATGATATCCCTCAAACTATTATCAGTTCTTGCGTTTTGACCTTTCTATTACCAAAACCCTGAAGACTACTAATATTACAATATGCTTCCATGGCTTGAGAAGTAAAACGTCATGGAGTAGCTTTATTCTACTTTTCTACCTTTTTCTACTCTGAGACAATCGTTATCAAGTGATATCAAGCATATTGATATAGTAAAGAAACGGAAATGTGATCTTCAAGAATGTTATTATGGAATACGAAAAATATTAAAAAAATGGTTACTGAGCGATAATAAAAGGCAACGTTTATGTTCAGCAATGCAACGACTAATTAATTAAATAATATAGACTAAATAGTTTACATAAATTTCATTTCATTGACCCTTGAAATTAAATATCAACCTCTACTGAAGGTTCATTTTCAAACCTCGAACTTGGGAAGAGGTGTTTTAGATTAAAAGTGAAAACAACATGGATGGGTAATTGAGTGATTTGCTCAAAATTCATGTGCCAAGTGGAAATTTTATTTTGATACGCGTAGACTTTTCATGAAAAGTCGGGGCTCTATCAAGTAAGCTAAGAGGATTAAAATGGTGAAAATGAATGTTTATTGAAAACAGATGGATTTAAGTTTATGTTCCTGGTAAGAAGTGTGAAAACCTTGTAAAAATATATTTAAATGCGTTGATCAAGAATATAAGTCGGATGGCTTACCTTTTTAAAATTGAAGTAGGCTTTAAATTATTTGTCCTCCTCTTTCCAGTAACACATGAATTTGTCATTATAGTTTCTTGGAGATGCAAAAAAATTTGAATAAATATTTTTTTAGTGAAAGTTTTAAATACAATATCAAACATTTTTGCTGAAATATGCTTTTATCATAGAGCTTCTAGCGGAGAACTCATCTGTGACCTTGTAAATGTACGCTTATGCTATTATGAATGTTCGCAATTTCTCCAGACTTTCCCCCTGTGCTTGCAAACTAGATTTTATTCTACGACCAGGAAAATACACTCATGGATTTACCCGCGCTGTTAATGATCGATGGTCTTCATCCCAACCTCAGAACAAAATCATCACTATCCCAAATATTCTTACGTCGCTACGTATAGCTTCGACTCCGGTTATCGTTTCCTTAATCCTTCAAAATGACCTTACGTCTGCAGCTGTATTAACAGTCGCTGCTGGCTTAACAGATGTTGTATGTATCGAATTTTTTTCATTTATCTGCTAGGCTGATGGATACATTGCCCGATCGTTTCCAAATCAACAGTCTATTGTAGGATCTTACCTAGATCCCCTCGCTGATAAACTGTTTGTGTCTCTTTTGGCTGTGTCTCTTGCTTACACAGATCTTTTTCCAAGTAAATTGATAGTTTTTCTAGTGGCACCATTTTTTAGCTAGCTTGTTATTCTTATTTTTATCCAGAGATGCATTAATACTGATCGGCGCCTCGTACGTTAGGTACATTTCCCTTCAACAACCAGTATGTTCCCTTATTTTTAATTATCCTGCAGCGTTCATTACTTAGGTTAGTGATCCCGAAGGAGAAGGTAATTGAAATGAAGCCTATCAACTCTAGCAAGGTAAGCTGGAAGACAACACCCTTTTCTAATTGTTCGAACATGTAGCTAAACACCGCGGTTCAAATATCAACCGTAGTATCTAGTCTTCTTGTTCCAGTTTTTGGACTACAGAATAGTGTTATTCTCCCTGTTCTATGGTAAGTAAGCTTGGGCAATAGAATATCGTTTCCCTAGGCTATCAGCAGGTTTAACGACGCTATATTCCGGTTTTGGCTATGCTCGGATCTTTCCCAGTGTTCTGAAAGAGGCCCAACAAGTTTCCATTTCCAAATCGAAAAAATGAATTTGATCTTTTGTATGTAAAAAATTATACACCAGTTTTTCAGCAATAAAATACATTGAAATTGTTACAATGATTGTCATTGATCTTTCACATTTTTCCATTTTACATTGAAAAGACAAAAGGAGGTGGGAAAAGACAGTTCTCCAAATCTCTGTGTCGTTTCAGACAAAATATGAGATGAGATACAGGAAGAGAAGATGGATGAGATTTAAGCTACATAGATGGGAACCCTGAAGAATTTGATTCGTATTTCTAGAAGTCAGCTTTTTAACCACCTAGGGGTCTTTGAACGGAGATCGGTCTGAATGTCAAATCCAATCTCAAGGCGCCTGGCGACGAGAATCGGCTTCGTAATCTCGATACGCTGGGTAAGTAGTAAGAAACTGAGTATTCTGAACAGGCATGAGTTGAAGGGTGTCATTTCTTAGTAAATATGTCAACTAATAGACTGGATAATCGGGAGAGTATTGAGCACCTGGAGGAATCACTTGATTGTGGGTTTCATGAATAGCAGTAGCAGTGAACATTCCTATCAGGGAGTTTAGAACAGCGACAAGGGCTGGAGAAAGAAGAACCTAATATCCAAAAGATCATAGAATGGGGGATTGGGCAATTCGGTGGGAGTCTAAATCAATGCCTTAACAGGTGTGGGAAACAGAGTAGTGAACGAATATAAAATAGGGAATGTTGTTTAGGGACCGAGGAGGTAAATTTAGCTCGATGAGGCAGCAGCAAACAGTGCCCTCTGATTCTCATAGGAGTGAGCACTGGTAAAATTGGGAACAGCGATGAGGTAGACACCACCAGACAAACTAGCAGGTAGGGAAGAGAGAGAAGCGGATAAAGGAGGATTTCGCTGGATGTGAAGGCCGAGTGGTGATGGAGATGGCAGATTTCGAGAGAGATATATGTAGTCGTCACTAAAACACCATCGATGACGCTGACTAGAACCACCAACGCCAATTCGAGTGTAGGGAGTCGTTGTTGTAGGCCAGTCGAAAATAGTCTGGGTCGCTGTAGAATAGGGAAGAACTGGGATTCGTTCTTGACGGATAAAGGTGTACGCATGAGGTATTTCTGTTGAATGTTCTGAAGGGAAGGAAGAAAAGTGTGTTTAAATCCGGTGTTCAAGTAGACGAATGAAGCGTAGTGACTTAGTTACTAATTTCCTACTTCTTCGTTTGAGCAATTGCAGCTAAGTACTCTCAAAGGGAAGGAGCTCTATGTCATTACAGCATTAGCGACATAACAGACAGACGTAAGTGACTACCAGTTTCAAGTCTTTTGAAAAAACCGCTATCTATATTATCTAATTTTTTTATAAGAAAGGCGAAAACTTCACCTTAGTTCAAAAAAGCAAAAATCCTTCGGTGAAAAGGCAAAGCGGGAATAGGCTCAAAGTAAAGTCTCACAGAATGTATGAAGGTGAATCAAAAATTCCCAAAAAGATGACAAACTTTGAATAGAACAAAGACTTACATGCTCGAGCATGTATTCAGATCTTTCTTAATAACACACAACTGCCCGATCATTCTCCTTGTAAGGTGAGGATCAAGATGGGCTGCATCTCAAAAAAGCTAGTAATTTTCAACCTTTAAAATGACAAGAAATCAAGAAAACATCTCTCTTGTGGAGAACCTATTGGAGGAACCAGATGAAGGAGTTACCATTGAGGAAATTGCCCATGAAGTAGGAATTGCACAGAGATCAGGATTTTCAATTCCCACTGATGACAGATGGAAGCGAATGAGGAAAATGTTACCGGAGCTGAAACCTGAAACTACCACTTTGATTCAAATAGCAAAATTCAAATAAAAGTGTCGTCCTAAGGGAATATCTAGGCCTATATAATTAAAAGCCGAAAGGTCCATTAAGATGGTCATGGTCACTATTTTTTGGGATTCAATAGAAGTGATACGTATTGATAGACTTTCTGGAAGAACAGAAAAAGATAATTTCGAGTTATTAAGACGTTTTAAAGAAGTTGAAGAAAAACCTAGCGCCAACATGAAAATGCCTCTGCACACTCTTCAAGAGCTGTCAGGGTCTTGTTGCACGAATTTTGAGGGGGAAAAAGCCCAAATCCTCCTTATTATCCGCACCTAGCTTCCTCAGATATGTTTGCTTCCAAAACTCAAAGAATACCTTAAAGGCGGCAAATGATTTATATTTTTAGATGAAGCGAAAAGCATGTAACTTCATGGTGGCAGAGACAGACCTCAAAATTTTAACATGAGGGAATTTACGAGTGTACATATAGACTATAAATGTGTATAGACAACGAAGTAGAAAAGCGTATGTAATCACTTGAGGAATTTGCCTGAGAACTTTTGACTCACCCTCGTATATGATAAGCGCGCGCTTTTTACCATATATGTACATTCAAACAGACAAGGTTGTAAATCACTGTGGGAAAAGGGAACACAAACATTCTTTAAATTGTGAATTTGAAATAGAGAACGAGATAAGTAGGAATCAGGACTGAAGAAGTAAAAAATGAAATGTCTGAAAATTGGAGTACGTGGGCATTTCAGATGTCTGAAATGGCCGATGAGACAAATCATCTACTTCAAAATTTGAAAACCAACAGCAGGGAAATCCGCGTAAGAGCGACGATTTTTTCGTTGTCCATTGTTCAAAGGAAGAAAGCACTTTTGTGCAATTCAAGATATCAACGACATCAAGTAATTTTCACGTTGCAAAACGGCAGTGTGGAATATGCGATTAAATAGAAGAATGGCATTCCAAATTAATTGTGTCTTGAGTATACATTTTTTAATGAGGTTAGAAATGACCAGTGAAAGGCCCACGGACCAAATTCGCCTAAAATGGACCTCAGACTTTAGATTAGTGGAAGTGACAAGAAAAACGAAGCTAGCTTAAAAAAGTACAAGTTTCGTTCTGTATCGATTAGAATTGAAGTTTGGAGTGGAGTGGGTGAACAAGTAGACCCAAATTAGAGCACAGAATATGGGAAAAAACCCGAAAATTCCTTCATTTCACTTTTTATGACAATCAAGACACCAATTTGGGACGGAAGGTGGTAACGTAGAAAGTTGTACATATTGCGTAACATTTGGGGATCAACACGAGACCAGTGGCAATGTTACCGAATAACTGGAAAATAACCTCGAAATTTTTGCAAAGAACAGCTTAATTATCAAATAGAAGTACAAGAATGCAACATATTCTATCTGCGTTGCAAAAGAAATACCAGAGACTTGTCCAACAGTTCGTTAAACCGTTTAATACCTTCTTAAGGAGCACTTGCAGCATTGAATTTTAAATGGATGTACTTTTATCGATCTGAGCATGCACTTTCTAATGATCCATCGAAACATTCGACTTAATGGGCTGTTGAAGAAAATCGACGGAACCTTTGGGATTACTATAACCTAAAGATATGTGACGAAAGTGTTCACCACGAACAGAATTTCGGATGCACAACTAAGCGCACCCCCCTTCATCCTGGCAACACAATATAAGCAGGCTTAATCAATAATGAAAGCATAATTTAAGGTGTAGATTACCCATCTTCACAATGCTGGATCAGAGATATCACAGTGGCATGCCTTTACCAAACCAGAGGCAAAGTAAAGTGACATTAAAGCTACTAATGGATTTCTTCACAACGAAAGTAATTCGGATAAGAAGGCATCAAAAATACGCTACGTCTAAAAAAGTTATTACTTTTTTGCCTACACCAAAGGACATTGAGGTCATCAAGAAAAGAGGGATAAAAAAGAAGACACTGATAATCAATGACTCGTATACTGATAACAAATGATCTTTACCAGTGAAGAAATCAATTCGGAATTCCATCGAATCGTCATTAGATATAAAGCCTGCCAAAAAATAACTAACATATTTTTGACTTGAGATATGTTAATTGTCTTTTTTTCGATTTTAGCATCTTCATCATACTGTGATGCTTAAAATTGTGGCACAACAATCAAGGTCTAGATTGCCTCTGACTATCGTTGATAATAGAAGACCTACTACATTTAGATAAGGAGCCTGCATATAGCCGCCCCTCAAGAGGTGATACAGACTTGCACCAGAGAAACGCTTAAAAAACGCTCCGATTAGTCACTGATGTAAACATCTGATTAACAAATGCCGGCACAAGCGACAATAGCATTAGCCATCACCCCCTTGAAAGTGGAAAACGATGACCACATATAACGACTCGAAAATAATCCGCTGATTCCACAGATGCAGTGCAAGAAGTCTTACTTGACAGTAGGTGGCATCAAGCCCATTGCTAAAAAAATAACTACCACACGAGAAGAGAGACGGAATCAGAGAAAGTAAAAAATCAGAATTGTTTGATCATTTACCATTTTATAAGTAAGATGTCGACAATTTGTGCCCTCTTGTGGATAATATCTCCACTGGACATAGGTTATCAATAGTAATCTCAAGTACAGGCGTGGGCGGATATGGGGTCTTGGAAACTGTTACAAACCGCCATTGATGGCATACAGGATGAGAGAAACATGAACGCTCAACCCCCCCTCCATTCTAGCCTCACCAAATGGGTTCCCATATTTGTCCTTATTCTGGTGTTAAAGTACATTGGGTTAGAGCAATGAACATGGGATTTATCGATTACTTTACCAGTTCAAATAACAGTCGATAATGATGATTTGGGTTTAATGAATTTAAATAAAAAAGGATAACTAACAAATGATCTGATCTAGACATTTTTGATCAAACCATCATGGCTAGTGTTAAAGAGTTTCAATGGATATTTAAAGAAACAAACAAATTAATTTAAATCAGATCAATTAAGGGAAGACTTAGTACCTTGGCTTTATCAACAACAGAGTAACAAACTAAAGGAAACTACAATAAATCAGGTTTGGGTTACCGCCAACGTCAAAAAAACTTATTTTGAAGTTGAGGCCAAATTGGGACGTGAGGATAAATATAAATTTGTGTGAAGGTCCACTTATTGGTAAATTAAAAATAATGTCTTAGCTAAAACACATTTTTAGACATCAAATAACTGTTTTAGAACTGGGAAAACGGAATAACTATAAATTCACTCTACTCAGCAGTTCAATTATATGCAGTAGAAAAAGAGAACACCTAAGGAACTATTGTTATTTCCCAATTCGATCATTTCACTTTTCTTGCTGTGAGAAGTAGAGAATGTGCAATAAAAGTCGTACAATTTATTTTTCATGAAATCGATTGAAACGATTCCCTCTTGGACTTCATTATCCAAAAACAGAAAATATCGATAAAATAGGTGATATATTACTCCACTTCCTTTTACACACTCAGGATATGTCAAGTAATTTTCGTACGACATTATAATCAAAAACAATGTCTCACGAGAACGTGAACCTCTTGAAGCAAATTATGATCTTCAGAAAATCGAATAAATTTTAATGGCTGCAAACATTTGACTAACAGAGATAAATACAGAGTGAAATGATCTATAGCTAGAAATGATGCAATCTGAAGTAAGAACATGTCTAAAAACGTTTAATGGCTGAAAGAATAATTAGTGAAATAAGCGAGAAACTAATAATTGAGAACTTCTAAAACCTGAACACTTCCCAATGAGGTAACAGCTTACATAAAACATTTCAATATTGGAAGTAATCTCTACTCCCCAGATAACGTATTGCGCATCAATTTTGAATTATCACATTGATTGAAGATTCCTGACATCAATGCTAAAGTTATGAAATGTTCCAAAATGATCTTTTATAGCTATTTACACAAAAAGGCTTTGTTTGCATTTACTACGCAGTAGTTACGCTCATGTCCTAACACATGAAGTCTTTTTAAACGTACCAGTTATTTCCAATGCTTCCCGAGAAGTCTCACCAGGCAATCTTCCAGTTGGCAAGTCACCACGATTCTGTTAAAAAAAAAGAAATTGTAAATAAAAGTTAGTACATAATTCATATATTAGCGTAAATACTAGACAGACGTACTCGACAAGCACAAGAATTAACCCTATGGCGTTCCATCTGAGCCAGCCTGGCTATATGTTCACCTAAAATCGAATTAAGCCAAAGAGCTCGTTTGCACTTGAAAACAAAAATTCCAGCTGAAACAAGGTAAAAAGGAAAATAAATACTTGAAATAAATAAACGGTCACACAGATCAAAATTAATCCACGAAATAAACCCAAACTCATACAACAAATAAGAGCTTACACTTTGCACATCGTCGTCCAGCTTCGAATGTGAAAAGATGTTGCCCACCACCAAAACCTCGAAGACCACTCAGAGGCCAGCTTACAAGTTTTGGGACATTTTGTTCGGTATAACGATAAATGAGGTCGCTATAAGTTAGTTCCAATCTTCCGTTCGAAACTTTTCGCCCATGGTCATTTAAGAGCCTAGCTTTATAGGAGCAAAACACTTTTTGACATGGAGTATCATTAAAATATTCGGAGGTACTGTTATAATCTCTTTCTAGAATCGGGTGCCGATCGTCGACATGCGCCGAGTCCGCTACCAGCCGGCTTCGCGCGGGACCCATCTCCAGTTGATGCACATCCCACGGATAAAGTTAGTCTGGAGTGACCTTAAGATAATAATCAATTGAAGCATAAAAAGAGAGGCGTAATTTTGTAGTTATTCATTGCCAATGAAATAATAGAACTAAAGAAAATACCTTTTTAATCTAAAGTCATAAATTTAATAAAATACAAAAATCACCGATAACAACTTGCAAAATGAACGGCTCGTGTAAGCCCGTTTAGTTATATTTGTAATCCATTTATATGATATATCGATTTGTTTTTTTGCATTTTTTCATGAAATGAACTGCCGGCAATATTTTGACGATTGAACTGTCATTGAAATCAATGGTATTCCTTTTAAACCATACAATTGTTCTATTCCGATCAAAATGACTTATATGAAATACTCTTTAAATAATACATTAGTTAAATCCTATCATTTTAACTGGCGATTGAATCGACTTGTTTTATCTTCTATTACCATTCTCAGTTTATGCGCTTAATGATTAGAAGGGACTGATGGGAGGCAGTCATAATATCATCGTAAACAGTGCGAAATCTTTTGAATAAAAATTACAAAAGGCATGGTTTGATAAATTTTAAAGCATAGAATATCAACTTTTTTTTGATCTTTCAGGGATATTTTCATTTTCATGAGATGAAATTGTTATGGAAGGACGACACATATTTAAATGAATATTTCACTTTTCACTCAACGATACCTTAAATAATAGAAGTAAAGCAAAACAAAGAAGCTTATTCCAAAATCCGCAACTGACAAAAAATGACAATTTATCTCGTTCCGTTATCTTATCATGCAAATGAATATAATGTTATGCAGAATTGTTTGTAGTACCCAATGTGACTAAATGTATTTTAATTTAAAAAATTAAATTAATTTGGACCTTTCTGACTTTTGTCGAACCCCAAGAAACCAAACATTTCTTTTTCCATATTGTAATTTCCAACCCTATAATGAGAATGATAACGTGACCTCATGTGTACTGAGAGGTAATTGGTTCATACTAACCGCATATTCTAAGCTAATAGTTGGCATTCGATTTTATTTTTATCGACTTATTCGATGGATAGTTTGGATGATGTGCTTAATTTTCTCGGATGGACATCAGAATCATTAGATAACGTGGGCAAAATGCTATCTTTGACCTATAATAACCTTTTTAACATTAAAATCTTTGCGTACTTACCATGGCTATTTTTAATAGTTGCCATTTTCGAAGATGAATTTTATTTTCTTTAATCATAATTTAGATCCCCGATATCCAGAAGTGCTCGATCAACAATGGACACCTTATTCCAAAGGACCGAGTTGACGTTCACATGGAAAAATGTCTATTGCGACAGCAGGGGTACACGAAAGAGCAAATTGTAAGCGAGATGACGTGTAGTTTTGCCTTAAATCTACAATTTTTAGAAATATAAATTGTTTTAATTTTTCCATTTTTGCAACGTATATTCCTTTCTACTTTATATAAATTAGTAACGTGCTTACCTTGGTAGAAAGCTTTCTGGAGTTACTCTGATGAAGAAATTCGAAAGTTTTCGGAAGCTACACTGCAACCGAATGCTGCCAAACTTCCACACGATTTAACTTTTGATCTATCAAGTACTCATTCGTATCAAGTTCAATTGTTTTTGCCATCAATAGCACTTCAACTTAATTCTATTTCATTTGATTAACCTTTTTTTCAGAACGTGATAGAAAGAAAGTGTCGGACCATGAGAAGGCTTTTATGCGAGATTTGAAACGTCGAAGGCAGAGCTACCGCGGCATCCATACCGCTAGAAAGCCTTACATTGAGGTATTGAATTTGCGCCGTGCACCATTATAGATTATTGCGTATTCGAGTGCCTTAATTTCATTTTGTCTTTTAGATTCTCCGGGAAGTTATAGAACACCAAACTGCACTTCTGAGCGGGTCTACAAGTTCAAATTTGTAAGTACGTAATGTTTTATCAATTTCCCAACTGGTTTAAGTCAAGCCTTTTTGGCCGTTTAGTCTCCTGTATTAATACGTTTTGTTTGATCAACTGATAAGAATGAATCTTTTCAAACAATTTATCTTGTTTTAGGCTGAGATAAGTTTTATTGATTTTTTTGTCGTTTTAAGGTGGTGGTTGAGAGCCCATTATCAACACCAAAATGCTTTCTCGCCAAATTCGCAATTTCTAAAATTCCTGGGGGGGGGGGGGGGGGGAATTTAAGTTTTTTTCCATTTCCTTAATTATCCTTCCTCTTGAAAATTAAACCGTGAGAATTTTTATTTCTTTGAGCGTCTTGTTATTATGGACATTTCGAATGCAATTTCGACTTTGTGAGCTTTTCAGCCGACTGTAGTTTAAACTTTAGTATTTATTTATGGAGTCAGGTGAGTTGCTTCTTTTGAACCATTCTCGAAAGCTCGACATCGAGTTTAGACCTTTATGCAAATTTCATAAATACTTATTTCCTCAATTTGTTCTTGTTCCATTTATCATTTATCTTTGACATACTTTTATGGGTGTTTGTTAAATTCAAAATTTAGTTTTTTTATAAATACATTTAGTGTATTTTGCCGCCACTATGAGCATTATTATTATCGCTGTCTATATTTTAACTGTTTCCTCCATTTTACGTGCCATAATCCATATTTTAATGAAAATATTGATTGCATCCATCGCACTACCATTGACCGACAAGTTAAACATATTTTTTGCATACGGACGATATTTCAATGGGTGCTGTCGAACTCTTCGGCGAGATCATTAGGCCTTACAACACTAAAGAACGGTTTCTGTTTTATGATAATAAGCTATATTGCATTGTTTATTGTAATTGTATGAATTAATAACCTTCATAAACTAGATACCACTCGACTAGAATTCCATATTATAATTGTTGCTTACTGGTCCTTAACTTAACAATGAGAAATCCAGATTACTGGCTTCTGATTATAAGTGTTGAAGGACAAATAGGATTCACGTTGAACTCGAGGTATCATTATTGACCAACTCCAGTTTTCGGTGGTGTAGGATCATTTGAACACGAAGAGTAATTCAAAAGGTAGAGTAAGGAGACGGAGAAGTAAAGTGGCCTCATTTTGTTCAAAATTACAGTCTAATCGCAAACTTCTTACTTTATGGAGATAATTTGCTGCCTCGTTGCCTGATGTGCAGAGTTTTATGTTCAGGATTTGTTCCTTGTGTTTGAGTGAATTTGTATTCAGAGTTTATTGACAAGTTAATTCATTTAGATGGGTGCCTTTACCATTTCAATTCAATTTTTACTCATAAAAGGATTTATTGTAAATAGATCTTAGAGATAAGTCCATTATTTACTCACAGATAGTTATATAAAGTCAAGTATTTAAGTTTGTTGTCTATCATAACTGAAATTATATAGTTTTTCTTTACTTAATCAGGTACACAAATGGATCTCTTCTTGACAAAGAACAATCCTCAAAACATTCGACTAAGTGTTCAAGGTGAGGTTATTTGCCTGATATCTAATCACACATTTAACGGCCTAGCTCGAAATTGTTTGATATCGGAGGAAGGCTAGCATCTGATCCCTTGGGGTGTAATTTGGTATATCTCTGCTCTGTTCAATCTTACTTATTTCCACTAATAAAGGACAGTCTGATATTGGATAGATGACTATTCAGTGTTGATTTTTCCAGCTTTGACTAATGTTTTATGCGTCTTCTAGTGATTTTATGACCTTCCGCCCAAAACGCTCATTATCCTAGTACTCATTTAAATCATTAGGTCTGGGAATCCCTAAATGATTAGTCCTTCTAGCTAGGACTTTGGTGGGCCCTACTTTGTGAAATAGGCTCTAGCTATTGTTGTCTAAATTTAGTTAGCTACTAACTATTATTTGTCCATTGATGAATCAGTTTGGGACATGAGTTACCACTTAAAGACCTAAGAGAAGAACTTGCGTACGTTGACTCATGTCAGTTCAATCTACGTTCCCTCGTTTATTGAATCACCTTTGTTTCCAATTGCTCCTTTTCATCTGCTAATCGATCCGAATTGTTAGCGTTACTGATGCTCTTTTGGTCCAATTTCTCCTATCTCTTCCTCTTATTTTTTCTTACTAATTTATTTCTTCTGTTAACAGTGATGCAGATACCTCGCTCGATGACGATCGATCTGGTTCGAAACTTCGAAAGTCTTCAGATAAACATTTCAGGTATCTTAATTTACCAATTCAAGTGATTTAATCCTATATCTCGTTCTTATGCCAATTTTCACCCTGTCAAGATCATCAAATCCGCATTCAGATTCCCATTTTCTCTCGAGACATACACATGAGCGACATTCCAGGTAATTCACTTTTTGGTAGTTTTCTTTACATTTCTTTTCTTGATGTTCAATTGGAATAAATTTTGTTCTTCTACTTCAGACTTCCTCATCCATTATCTCATAACCGGAGTCGACCTCGTAAAGAAAGCAATAGGCGGCGATATTAAAAAGTCTGCAATTTATAATGCCATTTTTACATTTTTTGTAAATAATCTTATTTTTTACAATGAGAAAAATATTTTGAACGCGGTTGTTTTCGGCAGTTTGCTTGATCAAGTGCTCTAAGTTTTTCTGCTAAAAGTTTAAGATAGGCGCTTCTAGTTTTCACAAATTTTCGCTTTATTTTCAAACATTTTCAAACAGCTTTGTTCGTCCGGAAACAGACCAATTTGAACTTTCCTTCAATTTTAAACTTTCACTCGCTTCCTTAAGCTCAACGTTTAATCCACTTGGCCTCTTGTCTTAATACGAATGTCAGTTGAGTGTTTTTTTAATTAAATGCACAAAGTGGTGTGATGTTGAGCTTGTATGAAGTTACCTCGAATACGCCAATCAATTATTAATTTTTTTCCAGGTAATATAATTCAAATGCGGTGAATTTAAGAGATTCAGAAAACGCTAATAAAGGGCTAGTGCACATAAATTAATTTTTAAATCAATTTTAGTGTTCGTCATGTCCTTTTGAACTACCCAATCTCCACATATTTTCATCATTCACAATTCTCCTTAAAATTGTATTTATTTCTCGAAATTTCTTGTCAAGTCCTCAATTATTCAATTTAATTCGGAGTTGGGAATAATGTCTGATACCTTGACAAACAAATGTGTGACAAAATTCCATTATTGACTTGTCGGTGTTTTGATCTTCATTCATCTGCTACAAAAAGAAGTTTATTAATTTATAAAGCTTTCGATTAGATAATTAAAAATAGAATGGCAAATGCCCTTGGCATTTTGGATGCTGCCTCTTCCCATTTTCGCCTTCAGATTGGGATCAAGTGTAGTCTGGCGTTATAGAGTGAAAATGCCGGAAATCATAATTTCTAGTAGTAAAAACATCTCAGAAGAGCCTTGCATTACAAAAGTGCTTCTTAGCATTGTACAAGTGAATTCTTATTGGAAAAATAGAACTTGATTGGATCCTAGAAGATGAGATATTTACTTCCCTTTCATCTCATTTGTTTTACATCATTCTAATAGATTTCCTACCTGGCACGCTATCAACAAAGTAATATCTACCAAAAGATTTATAGGGCAGTTAAGAGAAATACTTTTGGCGTAGAAAATAATTATTCCTGAAATGTTGTAAAAAGAGTGAAAAAGAACTTTCCTTGATCATCTTGGAATTTATATTATAATTTTTAGCCTAATTAAAATGCCAATTTTTAACATTCTTTCATATGGGGATAAAAATTATTTGAATAATAGCAGAGAATAATTATTCAAAAANAAAAATGTATATAAAGTGAAATCTGGCCAGGTTTTGAAGTATAAGAGCAATGAAAAAGAATTGCTTGCTCTATAATATGATCTGTTTCGAATACGTTTCTTAACTGATAAAATTCTCTTCTAACACATTTCAAAGAAGTCTCTGTGATGAAGATTTAAATCACATTAATCATCCGAAAATGCTTTGATCCCGATTCACCCTCTTTTGAGGTTATCTTTTAGAAACAATTTGTTGATACTAGAAAATAAAAAACATTGATAGCGTGAACAATGTTGGGAATTGAGTATAATTTATTAGGTACATTCATAAAACTGCTTCATGGGCATATACTATAATAAGGGTCCAATAAAAGCCATTGGGCAAAGCTGAGTTAAATTTTGCATTTTGAAGGCTTGAGTTCTCATCAGATTTTAGTTTCGATGAAATCCAAATTTCAACTTAATTCAAAGAGCCGGCTCTTAGCTACTAGATGGAATAAATATGCAAATACTTTTCACTGATATTAACTGAGATTCGTTTTCCTATTCAAAGAATCAGATTCCGATTAATACACCGTTACATTAATTAACAAGACTAAATATATATGTTATCGTACAACTATGATGTATTAATTTTTTACAGGAAGTGAAGACAATAACTTGATATCTGTTTTACTACCAATCATTAGTAAATATAAAAATACTCACTTAATCTAAAAACAAATAGAAATGGACCTCTGCAACAAGCACTACACTCTGGAAATATCTGATTTTCTGAAATGCTGAGATAGAAATCTGGTATAAAATGATAATTTCTTGACATTGCGTGGAACTGATAAAAATGCAACCGAAAGTTGCAAATATTACACTAAATGCACAATAATTTCTACCAATTGGATAAAATTGAGAACCATTGCCCTACCACAAAAAATTTTTAATTATACATCCAATAAACTATTGTAAATGTTGAGGAAAAAAGTTTCAATTGATTAAAAATTTTAACAATTAGAAAATGATAAAGCAAATTTTAATTAGAGGAAAGACAAAATTAAAATTTAAGAAATAAACGAAACCTATATCTACAAAATTTATCAAAACTGTTAAATTTGAAAATTCATAAGGAAAAAGTTCATTTTCCAAAAATTTAACACTTTNTTTGACAAAGAAATCGGGTTGGTTGGCATATTTCGAGCACTTGAAATTATTACGGCCTGAAAACTCCC